TTTGGACAAGACCCCCAAAGTATAGGAAACAAAAGCAAAACTAAGCAAATGGGACTACACTAAACTCAGAAGCTTGCACACCAGTAAAGGAAACAATCAGTCAAATGAAGAGACATCCAACAAAATGGGAAAAAAAAAAAACATTTGCAAACTACATATCTGACACAAGATTAATATCCCAAATATATCAGCAACTTAAAAAAAAACAGTAACAATAACAAAAAACAACCAATCTAGTTGAGAAATGGGCAAAGGATTTCTTTCTTTCTTTCTTTCTTTCTTTCTTTCTTTCTTTCTTTCTTTCTTTCTTTCTTTCTTTCTTTCTTTCTCTCTCTCTCTCTCTCTCTCTCTCTCTCTCTCTCTCTCTCTTTCTCTTTCTCTTTCTCTCTTTCTCTCTTTTTGACAGATAGACAGTGAGAGAGAGAGACAGAGAGAAAGGTCTTCCTTCCATTGGTTCACTCCCCAAATGTCTGCTACGGCCGGAGCTGTGCCCATCTGAAGCCAGGAGCCAGGTGCTTCCTCCTGGTCTCCATGCGGGTGCAGGGCCCCAAGCATCCTCCACTGCCTTCCGGGGCCACAGCAGAGAGCTTGACTGGAAGAGGAGCAACCTGGACTAGAACCTGGCATCACATGGGATACCGGTGCCATGAGCGGAGGATTTAACAAGTGAGCCATGGCGCTGGCCCCAAAGGATTCCAATAGACAGTTCTCAATAGAGGAAACACAAATGGCCAACAAATATATGAAAAAAGGTTCAACATCACTAGCAAATCAAAACCACAATGAGGTATAACCTCACCCCTGTCAGAATGGCTAAAATCCGAAACACAGAGAGTAATAAATGCTGGCGAAGACGTGGAAAAAGGGGAACACTTATATACTGCTGGTGGGAATGCAAATTAGTACAGCCACTGTGGAAAACAGTGTGGATGGCTGGCACCATGGCTCACTAGGCTAATCCTCCACCTGCGATGCCAGCACCCCCGGGTTCTAGTCCCGGTTGGGGCGCTGAATTCTGTCCCAGTTTCCTCTTCCAGTCCAGCTCTCTGCTGTGGTCCGGGAGTGCAGTGGAGAATGGCCCAGGTCCTTGGCCCCTGCACCCGCATGGGAGACCAGGAGGAAGCACCTGGCTCCTGGCTTCCAATCGGCGCAGCACACCGGCCACAACGCGCCAGCCGTAGTGGCCACTTGGGGGTTGAACCAACGGAAAAAGGAAGACCTTTCCCTCTGTCTCTCTCTCTCTGTGTTTAACTCTGCCTGTCAAAAAAAAAAAAAAAAAATTAAAAAAGAAAACAGTGTGGAGATTTCTTAAAAAACTAGAAATAGGGGCCAGTACTGTGGTGCAGTGGCTTAGGCAGTCACAAGGGGCTGACATCTCCTATGAATGCTGGTACAAGTCCTGGATGCTCCACTTCCAATCCAGCTCCCTGCTAATGCACCTGGGAAAGCAGCGGAGGATGGCCCAAGTGCTTGGGCTTCTGTGCCCACATGAGGGACCTGGTTGAACCTCTGGCTCCTGGATTTGGTATGCTATGGTCCTGGCTGTTGAGGCCATTTGAGGAGTGAACTAGAGGATGGAAGTTGTCTCTTTCTCTCTGCCTCTGCTTCTCCTTCTTTTTAACTCCACCATCCAAATAAATAAATAAATCTTAAAAAAAAAAGAAAAGAAAAGAAACTAGACATGGGGCTGGCACTGTGGCATAGTGGATAAAGTCACTGTATGCAGTGCCAGAATCCTGTATGCATACTGGTTCAAGTCCTGGCTACTCCATTTCCAATCCAGCTCCCTGTTAATGCACCTGGGAAAGCAGTGGAAGATGGCCCAAAGGATTGGGCCCCTGCACCAATGTGGGAGACTCGGAAGAAGTTCCTGGTTCCTGGCTTTGAACCAGTCCAGCTCTGGCCATTGCAGATCATTTGGGGAATGAACCAACAGATGGAAGACCTCTCTGTCTCTCCCTCTCTCTCTCTGTTACTTTCTTTCAAATAAAATCAGCAAATCATAAAAACAACAAAAACTAGAAATATAATTGTCAAATGATTCAGCAATCCCACTACTGGGTGCATACCCAAAACACTTGGACATAACGTATCAAAGAGATACCTGCACCACCATGTTCATAGCAGCATTGTTCAAAATAGCCAAAATTTGGAACCAACCAAGTGTCTATCATCACAAGAATGGATAAAGAAAATGTATATATACACTATTGAACATTCAGCTATAAAAAAGAATGGAATTCTACCATCTGCAGCAAAATGGATGCAACTGGAAGACATCATGTTGAGTGAAATAAGCTTGACCCAGAAAGACAAATACCAAATGTTCTCCCTTATATGTGGGAGCTAAAATTTAAAAAACAAACAAAAAAGAAAAAGAAAGAAATGTCTATGTATCAGTATTGCTGCAAATAGTTTTGTAAAACTTCATTTTATAACTATGTCAAATCAATAGTTAAGAATGCCATATACTACTATAGTTTTAATGATCTGTGATTACTTTAAAATTTACTGCATGTAGGTGAAATGGTCATTTTTCCATTCAGTTATTGTTTATAGCCATTGTCTATATTCTCATTAACTAGGGTCTTTTTGTTTGTTAAATGTCTTAGTTAGTGAAGCATTTTTACAGTAAGGTAATTTTAAAATGTTATCTCAAAAACTTAAAGACCAGACAGAACATAAGGGAGAAGGAAAGAGGATGGGAAGGAGAGAGGAGGAGGGAGGGAGTGAAGAAGGGAATATTATATTCTTAGAATTGTATCTATAAATCATATTGAATCTGCTAAAAATTAATCAAAAGTCAAAATTTAATATTTAAAAACAAAAACCAAAAAAACTAAAAGCAAGTCATTCTTTCAAGAGTTTTTTAAAAATGCTGCTGTGTATTAACGCTGATGAAAGAATCACCGTAGCCAGACATGCTTACAAAACAAAAATCCTGGGTTCTCAAATTAAAAAACAACAGGGGCTGGCGCTGTGGCGCAGCAGGTTAAGGCCCTGGCCTGAAGCACTGGCATCCCATATGGGCGCCGGTTCTAGTCCTGGCTGCTCCAATTCTGATCCAGCTCTCTGCTATGGCCTGGGAAAACAGTGGAAGATGGCCCAAGTCCTTGGGCCCCTGTTCTCACATGGGAGACCTGGAAGAAGCTCCTGTCTCCTGGCTTCGGATTGGCGCAGCTCCGGCTGTTGCGGCCATCTGGGGAGTGAACCAACGGATGGAAGACCTCTCTGTCTCTCTCTCTCTCTGTAACTCTGTCTTTCAAATAAATAAAATAAATCTTAAAAAAATAAACTACAAACTGATCAAAGTTCTAATCATAGATTATTTGCGATACCAGAGTAATTATTGCTATTTTCAGAAAAATGCCTGAATGGAGTCTCTGTACTTCTAATTGACTAGAAAACATTTCCTGCTAAATAATAATTGATTGATCTGTATTAATCTCAATAATTATTATTTTTTAAAAAGTTGCTGATTTTTTGAAGTCTTTTTTTTCTTTAAGATTTATTTATTTATTTGGAAGGCAGAGTTACAGAAAGGCAGACAGAGAGAGATAGAGAGAGGTCTTTCATCTGCTGGTTCACTCCCCAAATGGCCACACGGCTCTAGGCAGGCCGAACTGAAGCCAGGAGCCAGGAGCTTCTTCCAGGTCTTGCATGCGGGTGCAGGGGCCCAAGGACTTGGGCCATCTTCCCAGGCATATCAGCGGGGAGATGGATTGGAAGCAGAAAAGAAGTCAGGACTCAAATTGTTACCCACATGGGATGCTAGCATCACAGGTGGCAGCCTAATTGGCTATGCCACAAGCTGTCCCCAGTAATCTTTATTCTATTTAATTATAGTTTAGAATTATAAGCTAGCCGGCGCCGCGGCTCACTCCGCATGCGGCGCCAGCACCCCAGGTTCTAGGCCCAATCGGGCGCCGGATTCTGTCCTGGTTGCTCCTCTTCCAGGCCAGCTCTCTGCTATGGCCAGGGAGGGCAGTGGAGGATGGCCCAAGTGCTTGGGCCCTGCACCCTTATGGGAGACCAGGAGGAAGCACCTGGCTCCTGGCTTCGGATTGGCATGGTGCGCTGGCTGTAGCGGCCACTTGGAGGGTGAACCAACGGTAAAGGAAGACCTTTCTCTCTGTCTCTCTCTCTCTCTCACTGTCTAACTCTGCCTGTCAAAAATTAAAAAAAATTTTTTTTTAAAAATTAGAATTATAAACTAATGTTTAAGGTCTTTAAAACAAAACAATCAACTCCACCATTGATCTGCTTTTATTAAATAGCTCAATTTCATAAATCTGTCCAAAGCTTGGTTCCTTTGACTGATACTATTCCTCTAAGTCAGAGACCACATACGTCAAACCATTCTGTAAAGCACCTAGAAAAAATATGCAATGTACAGACTTGAAGTTAAAGCTTTCATATAACAATAGTGATATAACCCTAACAAGGGAAAAAAAGGCCTCTATAAATCCATGATTATTTCAAGTAAGCATCAAATAAGACTTCATAGTAAACGAATATTCTTGAAAAGAAGGAAGGAGAGGAGGAAAAGGGAGGGACAAAAAAAAGGAAAGAAGGAAAAGAGGGAAGGAGAAAGGGAGGAAAGAAGGCAGGAAGGACAAAGTGCTCACAAATGATTCACTGCTAATTACTTACAAAGTGAACTCAGGAAACAGCCTAAGTGCAGCTGTCACATTGCTCAGGGGGTATATGAAGAAAATGATGACTGCTAAAGGAACCATGATGACTACTAAAGGAATCAGAGACCAAACTAAACACAGATAAACTCTTACTGGCAATTAATCACACTGCACTCAAAAATTAACTTCCTGATTTACTTCCTTCAGCTTATAATGTTTCTGAACACTAGATGGCAATAAACTAAAGTTTAAACCAAAGTACAAAGTACAAAGATTAAATAACTAGGTTATTTAATATAGATAGAAAAATAAGATATAGTTGCTCTACTTTAAAATATATCAACTTTTGACAGCAGTTCTTACCTGGGAAGAGGTCTGTACATCTCATAAATATCTCCCAGTAGATTAGTCCAAGTGCATACATGTCTACTTGTTTCAAAGCTGATTCACAGTCCCTCAGGTTCACAGCTCCTTCTAGCACTTCTGGTGCCATATATCTGATTGTGCCAACCTGATAAATTAGTGATATTTTTCAGAAATATAATGCAGCATATTATAAAGGGTAGACATCAGAAGATTTATGTAAATTTTAGTTATGGCAGTGATATATTACCTGACCCTAAGCATTTCAAATGAGCCTTTGTATTCTAATTTTATCTATAAAATGCCCTCTTTGAATAATTAAACTGTGGCAAATCTATTTTAGTGAATATTATTCATCAATCAAAATGAATAAGTAGACATTTCTATGTATATCAATATATAAAACTTGTAAGAGGGGCAAGTGTTTGGCACAGCAGTTAAGAATAAACTTGGAGTGCCTGCATCCTGTATCAAAGTGCCTGGGTTTAAGTCCCAGCTATGCTCCTGGCTCCAGTTTCCTGCTAATCATGGGAGGCAGCAGGTGATGGCACAAATGGTTGGATCCCTGCCACCCCTGTGTAGGAGACTTAGATTTGGTTCCCAGCTGATGCAAGGATTTGGGGAGTGAACCAGTGATCTATTTATGTCTGTCTGTTTCTCTCTCTCTTTATTCATTTGAAAGATTGAAAGGGAGAGAAAGACAGAGACAGAGACAGAGACAGAATCTTCCATTCACTAGTTCTCTCTCCAAATGGCCACAACAACCAGCTATGGGCTAGGCTGAAGTCAACAGCAAGGAACTCCACCCTGGCCTCCCACATGGGTGGCAGGAACACTCCGACAGGAGACCTGGCATCACAAGCTGTGGCTTAATCCACTGTACCACAATGCCAGCCCCCTTCTGTATTACTAATAAATGAACAGAAAACTTTTTAAAATCTGTAAGACACAGTAAGAAAATTATAATTAATAAGTAACCATTAATATTTTTAAAAAGTCACAAAAACACAAATATATGTATAGACACATTATCTCCAAAGAGAAAAAAGTTGGAAAGTGTAGATTTGATACTAATGGTGGAAGACGGACTGTCCTATCTCAAACTTGGTAATTTTACTGTTGTTTTTTTTTTTTTTAAAGATCTATTTATTTATTTAAAAGGCAGAGTTACAGAGAAAGAGACAGAGAGTGAAAAGAGAGATATCTTCTACTCACTGGCTCATCCCCCAAATGGCTGCCAAGGCCAGGGATGGGCCAGGCTGAAACCAGGAGCTGGGAACTCCACCTGGGGCTCCCATGTGGAAGGCAGATGCCCCAGCACTTGGGCCATCTTCTGCTGCTTTCCCAGGAGAATCAGCAGTGAGCTGGATCAGAAGTAGAACCGCTGAGACTTGAACCAGCGCTCACATGGGATGCCAGCATTGCAGCTGGTAGTTAAATCTGTTGCGCCACAAAGTGAGCCCTTGGAACTTTTCTCTTGCTTCAAAAATGAGGATTAGCGGGGGCCAGCACCATAGCATAATAGGTAAAGCCTCTGCTTGCGGGGCCGGCATTCCATATGGGCACCAGTTTGAGTCCCAAAAGTGCTCCATTTCCAATCCAGCTCTCTGCTACGGCCTGGGAAAGCAGTAGAAGATGGCCCAAGTCCTTGGGCCACTGCACCTGCATGGGAGACCTAGAGGAAGCTCCTGGCTCCTGGCTTTGGACTGGCCCAGCTTCAGCCATTGTGGTCATTTGGGGAGTGAACCAGCAGATGGAAGACCCCTCTCTCTTTCTGCCTCTGCCTCTCTGTAATTCTGCCTTTCAAATAAATAAATAAATCTTTTAAAAAAGCAAAACAAAACAAAACAAAACAAAAATAGGGGTTGGAATAGTGGCACAGAAAGTTAAAGTTAAACTACAGCCTATGACACCATTATCCCGGTTCAAGTCCCATCTACTCTGCTTTCAATCTTGTTTCTGGCTATCGTGCCTGGGAAGGCAACAGAAAATGGTTCAAGAATCTGGGTCCCTGTCACTCATGTGAGAAACTGGGATGGAGTTCCTGACTCCTGGCTTTGGCCTGGCCCTGCCCTGGCTATTGAGGCCATTTGAATAGTGAACTAGCAGACAGAAGATCCCTTCCTCTCTGCCTCCCTCCCTCCCTCCCTCTAGCTCTGCCATTCAAATAAATCTTTAAAAGAAAAATGAGATGGCACTGACTGGCACTGTGACACAGTTGTTTAAGGTGGCCAACATCTCATTCTGGAATGCCAGTTTGAGTCCTGCCTGCTCTGTTTTCAATACATCTCCCTGCTAATGTACCAGGGAAGGCAAGGGATGATGGTCCAAGTACTTTGGTCCCTGCTACCCATGTGGGAGACCAGGAGGGAGTTCCTGGCTCCTGGCTTCAGCTTGGCACAGACCTGGCTACGGATGCCATTTGGAGAATGAACCAGCAGATGGAAGGTTCTCTGTCTCTCTCTTGCTCTGGCTTTCAAATCTTTGAGAGAGAGAGAGAGAGAGAGAGAGCACATGAGCGAGCAGGGACTGGGATTGAGGCATGGTGGGTTAAATCCCTGCTTACGATGCCAACATCTCATACTGGAATGCTAGTTCAAGTCCTGGCTATACTGTTTCCTATTCAGCTCCCTGCTAATGTGCTGGGGAAGGCAGGAGATGATGGTCCAAGTACCCAAGTACCTGGTTGAAGCCCTGGCTCCTGGTTTTGGCTTGGTCCAGACCTGGCTATTGAGGCAAGTTGGGGAGTGAATACCACAAGAAAAACTGATGTCTCTCTCCCCACCTCCTGCCTTTCCTTCTTGGATATTCCATCTTTAAAATAATAAGTAAATCTTAAAAAAAAGTGAGATAGAAGTCAGTGATTCCCAAAATAAACTGATGAACTTTACAAAGGCTCTTATGTAGTGTCTTTGGTGTTTCCAAATTTTATAAATCTCAATATTCCGTAATTGGCAGTATATAAGGACAATTGTCCTCAGCAGTGGATTTTTTTAGTGCAATTCATTCATAATTTTAGTTATTTATTTATTTATTTGTTTTTTATTTCAGGCAGAGTTACAGAGAGGGAGAGACAGAGAGAGAGGTCTTCCATCTGCTGGTTCACTCCCCAGGCGACCGCAATGGCCAGAGCTGCACTGTCCAAAGCCAGGAGACAGGAGCTTCTTACGGGTCTCCCACATGGCTGCAGGGACCCAAGGACTTCGGCCATCTTCTATTTTCCTAGGCCATAGCAGAGAGCTGGATTGGAAGAGGAGCAGCCGGGACACAAACTGGTGCCCATAGGGAATGCCGGCCCCGCAGGCGAAGGCTTAGCCTACTAAGTCATAGCACCAGTCCACATAATTTCAAAATATGTCAGTATGATACCTCTTACATATACTTACCTCACTTATGGCTGCATTATCTTCTTCTCCTGGGCGTACAAGTCTGTTTCCAGTCAGCCTCATGGACAACCCAAAGTCACTAATAACACAGGTTCCATCATTTTTTACCAGGACATTTCTGCTGTTTAAATCTCGATGAGAAATTGCAGGTTTATAATGATCTGTTTGGGAAATTTCGAATAGTTATTGGTGCTTAAATGTAACTATTGGGAATTACATATAAAAAACAGTAAAAAATATAAATATAGAAGAAATGTTATTTTTCTGCCCATTAATTTTCTAATAACAAAAATGACATGAGAAATCAAAATTTCAACTTTCTCCTTATTACTTTCTAATATATTTTATAACATAACATCCATTACATGTATAGTTAATTAATGATTAAACATTCAGCTGAAACTAACAGCAAACAAACTGTTTTTCTAATTCTAACACAAATTTATTTTTTCTTTTTTTATTTTTATTTTTATTTATTTATTTTTTTGACAGGCAGAGTGGACAGTGAGAGAGAGAGACAGAGAGAAAGATCTTCCTTTGCCGTTGGTTCACCCTCCAATGGCCGCCGCGGCCGGAGCACCGCGCTGATCTGAAGCCAGGAGCCAGGTGCTTCTCCTGGTCTCCCATGGGGTGCAGGGCCCAAGCACTTGGGCCATCCTCCACTGCACTCCCTGGCCATAGCAGAGAGCTGGCCTGGAAGAGGGGCAACCAGGACAGAATCCAGCGCCCCGACTGGGACTAGAACCTGGTGTGCCGGCGCCGCAGGCGGAGGATTAGCCTAGTGAGCTGCGGCGCCAGCCAACTATACATGTTTTACATGCAGTGATATTTAGAAACTCAGTTTTGAAAAAGGTAACTATTTGGTGATAATATTAGCTAATGTTAGACAGAATAGAGTGATTCCTTTGATATAAAAAAAAAACAAGCGGCAGTACAATTTGAAAACAGGAGTTAATAGCTCTGTTTAAATGAAATGTGTGTATGTGATGGCAATCATGCTTTCAGCCAAATTTGACTTAAAATCTTGCTGAATCATGAAAACTTTGAAAAAGGCTAAGCCAGCTTTTTAAAGGAAGGAATAAAGGGGCACAGTCCAATTGTTAATGCACAAAACACTAAAGAAAGTGCACCAAGTTGCTGACATAGACAGTAACACAAGTCAATTTTGTAGTCAGGAAAAGCAAGATGTCAAGATAAATGAACTGATAAATTATTCAGGTGAAATTATTTATATATGAAGCATCAGCTAGAAAAGATGATCCATGTTATAACACAGTGGAACAAAGATCTAAGAAACTGTACATTAATGTTCTCTTAACTAAAGAGGTCAGAGAAAACTTAAGAAAGTACAGGGACAGAATTTTCACAGAAAAGCTAATTGAGGGGTGGCCTGTGATACAGAAGTACAGACTGAAACAAAGTGAGAAAACAAATGTATGAAAAAGAGATACTCTGAACAACTAGCAAATATTCACATGAAAATCAGAAGACTACAGTCACCATGAGGAGTAACAACTAGTTCTGAACACAGGCAAAAACTGATTCCCCACCATTCATTCTCCCCTTCCTGCTTAGTGGCCAAACCCAGCATTATTTGGAGGCTGGAAGGCACTCAACCAAAAAACCTCTATTCCCAGCCTCTTCTGAATCTAAGTGTGAACTAAGTTCTGGGAAGCAAAACACAAGCATAAGAGTGGAACTTCTGGAGGAACAAAGCAGCATTTCTTTTTACCTTCCTTTCCTTTTTCCTGCTGCCTAGAATTCAGCATGATGGGTGATAAGGTAATTTTGCAAATGAAAGCTGTATAAAGGATGGTGGAGAAGAAATACAAGAGACTCAGGTCCTCATAATACCATAGTGCTGCCAACTCAATCCTACACTGTCTCTCCCTAGATTCTTACATGAAAAAGAAAAAAATTTCTTTCTAATTGAAGTCACTGTCATCCCCCCTCCCTGCACCAACAGATTTGGCTAAGCTTATTTCTGTTTAATTAACTTACAGAAAAATACATTTGGGTTTTAGTTTAAAAATCACATGGAATAGAGATGTGATAACAAAACTAAAAAAGTAATAATGCATTGTCATTCATTTAAATAAAATAAATATAAGGAAAATATAACCTGGCTAAGAGGTTCTGAACTTAAGGTCCATAAATGGGCTTCTTAGAATCTGAGAGCCATTAGAATAAAAAAAAATTTCTAAGTTTGCCCACATATGTATCTTTGGATGGAGAGTAGTCACAGCTTAGCTTCCTCTAGATGAAGTCTTTTTCTTATTATTCTTGTTATGTTTCAGGTAGTTTTTTATTATGCTGGATCTATCAAACAATTGGCTATTAATAAATCTGTAACAGAAATTATACCTTTACTTTGAAATTATGATTAGAACTACTCTTTGTGAATTTTGAACCCAATGGAGTGTCATTCATCTTTTATTCATTGTCTTACCTCCTCGTGGTAATTCTGTGTGAAGATAAGCCAGTCCTCTAGTCACAGAATGAGCCAGACGGCAAGAGCTTACCCAGTCACTTGTATGGAGACTCAAATACTTGCATAGAGATCCCTATGTAGAGGGAAAAAATGCCCCCCAAAAGTGAAATTAACTTACTTTTACATAAAGAGATAAGTTAGCAGCCTTATAAAGGATTTGCATAATTTAGGACTCCATGAAGAACCAATGAACTACAATATGACAGAATCTTGAGTTAGTAAGGCATTTCTATATGTAGAGAGGACAGTATGGAAAGTAAAGATTTTAAATATCAATTTTTATGTCTCCAATATAAAAAATTATGAATGACTATTTCCTCTTAAACACTTCATCATCTATTAAATCAATGGGGTGGGTGCTGTGGCCACTTGGGATGCCTGTATCCCATACTGGAATGCTTGCTGGAGAATCTGCTGCTCTACTTCCAATCCAGCTTCCTGCTAATTTGTCTGGGAAGCAGCAGAAGATGGCTCAAGTACTTGAGTCTCTGTCACCGACATGGGAGACTCAGATGAAGTTCCTGTGTCCTGGCTTTAGCCTGGCCCAGCCTTAACTGTTGCAACCATCTGGAGAGTAACCAGCAAATGAAAGACTTCTCTATCTCTTGGGCCCTCATCTTCCTCTCCTTCTATCACTACCTTTGAAATAAATCTTTTTAAAAAATATAGAAATAATTATACCTTTTCACAAGTACAAATACAAACTATATTGTCATGTTTACAGGTAGAAAACAGAAGGCTTAAGTAAATACTGGTATACCTTCTGTGTATACTAGTTTGCCTTCTATGTCTCCAAGTTCTGCACCCATGGATTCAATCAACTGAACTGATGTTGAATGTGTCTGAATATGTACAGACTTTTTTCTCTGTTATTATTCCCTTAACAATACAACATAACAACTAGTTACAAAACATTTACATTCTACTAGGTACTGTAAGTAATCTAGAAATTATTTAAAGTAACTGAAGGACGTGCATAGGTTATAAACAAATACTACCCGATCTAACAGAAGACTTTGGTACACGTGGATTGTGGGATTGGTGGGGGTTGTCCTGAAACCAATCATCCCTGTGGATACCAAGGAATGATTGTATGCCTTTGTGGTACTCAAAGTGCTTATCTGCATACTATTATTGTTCTCTTATAACATAAGGAGCTTCCAACATTATGAATGTCAATCGAAGAATTACTTCCTTATGGAGAAAGTTTTGCTACCAAAGGAGAGGGGAGTGGGTACAGAGGAGTATAATTAGTATAATTAGTGGTGTAATCAATTTACATTCTGGCATGAGATTCTTAGCTCACTGCAGACACATTAATAACAAGTCTGCAAGCCAGCAATATTCTATATTATAGTAGTCAACCTGGAAGTCTGATTGATAGCTAATATAAATATTAGTTTAATTTTTATAAAGAACTTACATTGGGATAATACTCCATCACAAGCAAATACTCCATGCGTCCATCTGCAGTAACTCTCTCATCTCCAACTATAAAGCGAGCGATGTTGTCATGTTCCATCAAAGGCACTCTGTAAATGTTCTTCTCATTGATAAAATTCTGACGATTTGCAAAGGAAAATACTTTTACGGCAACTGGACGCTCATCTAAGGAACCTTTATAAACTGCTCCATATCGACCCCGGCCAATTAGCTGTAAGTTTATTTTAAAGAAAGCAAAGTATTAATTCATATCACAGGTGAGCAATAAAACTTACTAAATAATAAAGTAGAAATCCATACAGCATGCCTCAGCTCTCTATTGTTTATTGCTTACTCAACTTTTTTTTTTTTTTTTAATTTATTTGACAGGTAGATTCATAGACAGTGAGAGAGATAGATAGAGAAAGGTCTTCCTTCTGTTGGTTCACTCCCCAAATGTCTGCCATGGCCAGCGCTGCGCTGATCCGGAGCCAGGAGCCAGGTGCTTCTTCATGGTCTCCCATGCGGGTGCAGGGGCCCAAGCACTTGGGCCATCCTCTACTGCCCTCCCGGGCCACAGCTGAGAGCTAGACTGGAAGAGGAGCAACCGGGACTAGAACCCAGCGCCCATATGGAATGCCGGCACCACAGGCGGAGGATTGACCAAGTGAGCTACAGCGCCGGCCCCAAATCAACTATTAAATAAAGTCTATTTCTGGTATGACCAAGGAAGCACTCACTGGACCTACCAGCCCCCTGCACATAACAACTTTAAATTTTGCACGCACATACAGAAACCCAAAGGCAGATTCCAAAAGGCAGTAAGGCTTAGAAGAGTGGCTTGGGGTGAACTATCTATTTTTATGGCTTTTAGCTTGAGGGAACATTGAAATCAGCTCTAGTAGAGCTAAAGCTGTGGCAGAAAATCCATAATCTTTCTGGCCCTGGGTTCCAGGGGACATAATTTGGAGTAGCCATTGCTGCTGGAAGGTAAAGGGGAGGATACTGAAAAGGAGAAAAGTCAGAGAGGAAAATCCAGAGGACGCATGAGACAGACTCTAGATAAAATACATAAACTGAGATTTGAGCTTGTGTTCTAGACAAGTGTGTAATATGTGCCCAACCAAGTTAACTGTTTACTAAAACAAAGAATAAAAATCAGCACACTTTAAAAGAATCTAAGAGTCTAGGTATTCCACAACATAATACTCGTAATATTTGTGAGGCAATAATAAAAATTATTCAATATACAAAGAATCAGCAAAAATGTAACCTATTCTCTTAATTTCTGGCTTGAGAATTTTACTTTTTATTCAAACAGATTAGGGATTTGCCATCATTTATTTAAGGATGTATTTTTAGGTTAAAATTTAACTTATAGACCATCCTTTAAAAAAGCTGTAAAAACATTCATGGGCTGACACTGTATTCTAGAAGGTTAAGACTCTGCCTACAGTGTTGGCACCCCCTATGGATTCCAGTTCAAGTCCCGGCTGCTCCACTTCTAATCCAGCTCCCTGCTAATGTGCCTGGGAGAGCAGAGAAAGATGGTCTAGTTCTTGGGCCCCTGCACCCACTTGGGAGACCTGGATGGAGCTCCTGGCTCCTGGCTTCAGCCCTGACAGTTGTGGCCATCTGGGGAGTGAACCAGAAGATGGAAGATATCTTTTTCTCTCTCTCTGTATTTCTGTCTTTCAAATAAATAAATAAATCTTTTTAAAAACAAAACAACAACAAGAAACATCCATCATATAAGACTTTCAACATAACTTCTGAGATGTTACCAAATAAAAAAATTACATGCAGGGGCTAGCACTGTGGCTTAGTAGGTTAAGCTTCTGCCTGCGGTGCTAGCTTCCCATATGTGTGCCGGTTTGAGTCCTGGCTGCTACACTTCTGATCCAGCTCCTCGCTAGTGGCCTGGGAAAGCAGTAGAAAATGGACCAAGTGCTTGGGCTCCTTGCATCCACATAGGAGACCTGGAGGAAGCTCCTGGCGCCTGGTTTGGATCGGCCCAGCTCAGGCTGTTGCAAACATTTGAGGAGTGAACCAGCGGATGGAAGACCTCTCTCTCTATGTCTCTCCCTCTCTCTCTCTAACTCTGCCTCTCAAATAAATAAATCTTTAAAAAGAATTACATGGGATATGTAATAGCCATATGTACCTACAAAAATATATAGCATATGCTCAGACAAGGAATATTTATTGGGTATCTACTACAGACTCCTTGCTGGCACATTTTCCTCAGACTTTCACATATCTTTATTGCCATACTTTGTTTAGCTCTGTACTCAAAGGTCATCCCCTTTCTAAATATACTTTGTTTAACTACTTCCTTTCCATCATTTTCTTATCTTTTCTTCCACATTAATTTTCTTCATAGTACTTACTACTACTTGAAACTATATTATACATTCGCTTATCTCTGTCATATAAGCTACAGGAGGGATATCTGTGTGGTTGCCTATATTACCAGTGCCTAGAATAAGTCTTGGAACAAAACTGATATAAATATGAACAGAATAAATAAATGAGTTAATGAAATCATTGTCCCAAATATATTTTAAGAGTAGAAGCAACACCTAAATTCTAAGAGCAATCTTACCTCCAATAGTTTTAGATTATCTAGGTCAAGAGAAGGCTCTGATGCTGCTGCCTCCATCATGTTCATACTGTGAAGACCTTGTTTTCGATCTCCTACAGAAATGGGAAAAAGAAGTAACTAATGTGTGGTTTTCATAAAATAACGATATTTTTCACAATTAAATAAAGACACATACTAAATAACATGAAAGGTAGGAAATTGGAGAGTTGCTTCCACCATACCTTAGTTCAAAAGTTTAAAACCACATTGGACATTTATCCAAGTTATTAAGACACCTGCCTCCGATATTAGAGTACCTAGGTTTAATAAGTCAGAGCTCCATCTTCTGACTTCAGCTTTCTGTTAATGCAAATCCTTGGAGGCAGCAAATGACAGTTCAAATAACTGAGTTCCTGCCACCCATGTGGGAGACCTGGATAATGTTCCTGGCTTCTAGCTCCAGCCTTGGCCCAGCCCTGGTCATTGAGGGCATTTGGAAAATGAACCACGAACCAGCAGATGGGAGCCAGCTCATTTTCATCCATGTGTACTTTTCCTCTATGTCTCTGTCTCCCAAAAAAATAAGTGAATAAAAAACTTATTATAAGTTTAAAACCCTAAGAAATGTTGCAAAAACTTTTTTTAATTTGGGAGGCAAAGAGACAGAAACAGAGATAGTGAGAGAGTTAGCAAGAGAGAGAGAGAGAGAGAAACTTTCATCCATTGGTTCACTCTCCAAATGTCCACAGTGGTCCTGGGCATAAGGACCAAAATCTGGGAACCAGGAACTCCATCCTGGTCTATCAAATGGGTGGCAGGGACCCAACGACAAGAGTATACCTGCTGCCTCCCAGGGTCTGGAGTCAGAAGCTGGAGCTGAGTATTGAACCCAGATATTCCCACATGGGACACAAATGTCTTAACCACTAGCCCAAGAGCCTGTCCCTAGAAAAACATTTAAAGAAGGTTTTATTAAAGCTATTCGAATGAATAAATAGATAATAGGTTCTTTTCTTAAAAATTTTATTTATTTATTTATTTGAGAGGTAGAGTTAAAGACAGTGAGAGGGAGAGACAGAGAGAAAGGTCTTCCTTCCGTTGGTTCACTCCCCAAATGGCCGCAACGGCCGGAGCTGCACTGATCCGAAGCCAGGAGCCAGGAGCTTCCTCCTGGCCTCCCAAGCGGGTGCAGGGGCCCAAGCACTTGGGCCATCCTCCACTGCCTTCCCGGGCCACAGCAGAGAACTGGATTGAAACAGCAGCAGCTGGGACTAGAACCGGTGCCCATATGGGATGCCAGTGCTGCAGGCATCAGATTAACCTACTGCGCCATGGCGCCAGCCCCAGGTTATAGGGTCTTAAATGGGCCATCAAATCTAGTTTATTAGGACCAATTGGACACATGATGATTCTGAAGACTACTGTTGTTTTTCTCAGATATGAAAATGGTATTATGTATTTTGTAAGCCATTATATTACAGAAATATAGTAAATTATTTATAGGTAGGTGGTATCTGTGATTTGCTTCAAATTAATTTAATGGCATAGAAGGAGATAGTTACTGAGGCTATAAATGAAAAAAATATTGCCCATATGTGATAACTGTTGCAAGTTCATAATTTTGAAATTTTTTTCATTAAAAAAACTGGAAAAAAGTTTGTTAGAGATAATAGCGTATCAACTAATTCACTCCCCAGATGCCTTGGGGTGAGGGAGGTAAAGCCAGGAACAATCAAAGTCTACCATATAGGTGGACGGAACCCAATTGCTTAAGCCATCAACGCTGCCTCCCAGGGTCTGCATTATCAGGAAGTCAGGTGCCTGAGTTGGGTATTAAACCCAAAAGTATGGGGTTGGTGCTTACGGTCTGAGAGAGCAGCGGAAGATGGCCCAAGTGCTTAGGCCCCTGTACCCATGTGGGAGAACCAGAAGAAACTCCTGGCTTATGGCTGTTGTGGTCACTTGAGACGTGAATAAACATATGGAAGACCTCTCTCCCTGTCTGACCTCTCTGCCTGCCTCTACCTCTCTTTGTTTCTCTGCCTCCCAAATAAATAAATAAAATCTTAAAAATAAATAAATAAGTAAATAGAATCTTTTAAAATATATAAATATATATCCAAAAGTAGGGGCTGGCACCGTGGCATGGCAGGTAAAGCTGCCATCTACAGTGTTGGCAACCCATATGGTTGCTGGTTCATGTCCTTGGCTGCTCCACTTCCCATCCAACTCCCTGTTAATGAGTCAGCAAAGGCAGCAGAGGATGGCCCAAGTGCGTGGGCTCCTGCACCCACACTCCTGGCTCCTGGCTTCAGATCAGCTCAGCTCCAGCCACTGTGGCTGTTTGAAGAGCAAACCAGTGGACAGAAGATCCCCACTTTCTCTGTTTCTCCCTCTGTCTCTGTAACCCTGCCTTTTGGAAAAAATATAATAGGTCTTAAAAAAAAAAAAGTACTTTGATATGGGACAAAGGCATTTAACCACTAGGCTAAACACTCACACTAGCATAGTGATCTTTAAAAGAAGAAAATAAATTGATTAAACAGTACATTTAATAAATGATAAGACACAAATTGTATTTTTTTTTACCTGTTAACATTCTGTATCCAAAGCATAAGGCAACTATCAAAACAGCTAATACAGAGACTGATGCCAAAGCAATGATTATCGTCTCATCTCGATTAAATGAATGAGGTGGACCTAAAAGAAAACACATTTAAAAACCCTGTCATTTTTTTTAGTATTTTGTCAAGTAACAACAGACTGCCCTTAGAAAGGCTATATCAACATACAATAAATCAGCAATGTTTTTGCTAAAAGGAAATGAAAAAATTATACATACTTTCATTTGATATTAGTCAAAAGGCTGAGAAGCAATTAAGTTATACATATTCTAAACATAAAGGTTATGTTTGTGTTTAACATATGGTTAACATATGGTTATGTTTAACATATGGTTATGAGTACTTCTTCCACTTATTATATGTACATGATCTTGGGAAAATTTCTTCACCTGTCTGAGCTTAAATTCATACACTTGGAGAATGAAAACACACATCTAAATCACATGGCCATCATGAACGTGATAACACACTTTATGTGTTAGTTTTATCCTGGTAGGTAATATACATAGAGCAAATACCCCTTAGGATGGAAGTCCATAAACCAGAGCATATCCAGAAAAGATCAAGTAAAGCAGTGAAGGTAAGAGAACTCTGAATTGTTCTACAAAGGACTCAAAATATCTTATGTAGAAGAAAGAATAAGCTGGGGAGAATGTGATAGCTGTCTTCATACAGGAAAGTGGGCTTGTTTTGAATAGATTTAGAGCATTACAAGATTTAATGTGTTTATGTTCACAACAGTCTTCAGTTCAGAATATAGAACAAATGGCTTACAAACAGAGCTGTATAAAATGGAATGAGTTGTACTCTGAAATATATATGTTCATTACGTTACTAGTTACTCAGTCAGCATTCGGTAATACTGACCAGAGGCCAGACTTGATAACTGCTAATATCCTTATTTAATCACTTTTCATATTCAATCAAAAATCAATCAGACTGTATTTTAAAACTTTCTTACTTTGGACATTATAATTTTGTGTTGCATTCACACTAGAAGCTTCTACGATAAAGTAAGAAACCTGTATATCACAATTTCTCTGATAGGAATTCCTGTTCTTTATCAATTTATCTGTCTGGGTCAGGTAAAGAGTAGTTGCATATTAAAATGTCTGTTATTTCTATAGAAGGTTCTGCTGAAGTGCTAAAATGCTATTAATTTGCAGAACATTTATTAGATATCAACAGATGTTATCATACTGATAACTGTTATCTTTAAATATACAGAGTAAATTATAGGCAAAAAGCTTACATATAAAAACTAATGTTACTGTGTCTGGCATGGTGGCGCAGCGGGTTGTCACAGCTTACAATGCTGACATCCCTTATCAGAGTGCTAATTCAAGTCATGGCTGCTTTGCTTCCAATTCAGCTCCCTGCTAATATGCCTGGAAAAGCAGCAGATGATGGCCCAAATACTTGGGCCCATGCCAGCCACATGGGAGACCAAGATGAAGTTCCTGGCTCTCAGCTTCAGGCCAGCCCAACCCTGGCCATTGCAACTATTTGGGGAATGAATAAACAGATAGAAGATTCTATCTCTGTCTCTCTGTCACTCTGCCTTTCAAGAAATTAAACAAACAAAAATACATCTTAAAAAACAAATGTTAACATAATGAGATACCACTCTACATGTATTAGTATGGTTACAGCTAAAAAAAAAAAAAAGGAAGAACAAAATAAAAGAGTTGGCAAAGATATGGAGAAATTAGAGCCCCTGTACATTCATTGATGGTGGAAATATAAATTGTACAGCTACAGCAAAAAAAAAAAAAAAAAAACTTGGTGGTTTCTCAAAAAGCTAAACACAGATTTACATAAGACCTAGTAATTCCACTCCTAGGCAATACCCATTCCCTCCTACCACCCAAAAAAAAGTACAAATAGTTTTGCCCTTTTTTTTTTTTTTTACAGGCAGAGTGGACAGTGAGAGAGAGAGACAGACAGAGAGAAAGGTCCTCCTTTTGCCGTTGGTTCACCCTCCAATGGCCGCCGCGGACGGCGCACTGCGCTGATCCGAAGCCAGGAGCCAGGTGCTTCTCCTGGTCTCCCATGGGGTGCAGGGCCCAGGCACTTGGGCCATCCTCCACTGCACTCCTGGGCCATAGCAGAGAGCTGGCCTGGAAGAGGGGCAACTGGGACAGAATCCGGCACCCTGACCGACCGGGACTAGAACCCGGTGTGCCGGCGCCGCAGGTGGAGGATTAGCCAAGTGAGCCGCAGAGCCAGCCAAAATAGTTTTTCAAACAAAAACTTCCTCATCAGCTCTTTCCAGCCAGCAACAACTGATGAACATCTCTAAGGACAACTGGCACAAGTGCTGCAACAGTGGGGGCAAAAAAAAGCCCTAGCAAAGTGGAAGTATGAGCTGGGACATCTGGCTACCAACACTAAGACTGGCCCCTGCTGCACACATACAGCCTGTCTTCGAGGAGGCAACAAGAGGTATCGTGTCCTGAGGCTGGACATGGGGAACCTCTCTTGTGGGGTTCCAAACATATGCTTGCAAAAGAAGGATCATCAGCATTGTCTACGATATCCCCAGTAACAAGCTGGTCTGCACCAAGATCTTGATAAAGAACTGTATCACGCTATTGACAGCACATAGCTGTACAAATCCCACTAGGCACTGCCCCTGGGCTACGTGGAGGAGCTAAGCTGACTCCTGAGGAGGAAGAGATTTTAAACAAGAAACAATCAAAGAAATTCAAAATAGATATGGTGAAAGGAAACAGAATGCCAAAATCAGCAGTATTTTGGAGGAGCAGTTCCAGCAGGGCAAGCTTTTGCTTGCATTGCATCAAGTCCTGACCACAGTGGCCGAGCAGATGGCTATGTGCTAAAGGGCAAGGAGCCGAAGTATATCTAAGGAAAATCAAGGGCTGGAAAGGCAAATAAATCTTCTCTCATGTAATAAAGGTTTTTACTGTTCTATATCTCTGTCTACTATACAGAATAGCCAAAAGGGAACAACAGAAATGTTCATAAACTGATGAAGGGATAAACAAAAGTCAGGTATACAAAGGATGTAAGAAAGACTTCAGATTCAATAATTCCATTTATGTGAACTATTCTGAATAGGCAAATCCATGGAGACAGAAAGCAGATTAGTAGCCACCAGGGACTGGGGAAGAGGATTAAAGGGAGAGGCTATTTACTAGGTACGAAGTTTCCCTTGTGGGGTGATGAAAATGTTTTGGAATCAGATATAGATTGCACATATTGTGAATATAATAATGGTACATTTTTAACCTAGTTAATTCCATGTCATTTTACCTCTATTTAAAAAAAAAAACAAAATTCATTTTATAATTTGCCAAACCCTAAAGAAAATTCATTTTCAACACACATACACACAAATCTAAATAATAATTTATAGATTATTTAAGATATATACAAACATTTTATGTGCTTGCTAATCTTCTTCCCCTACCATTACTGTCAAATTCAGTAATCCTCACTTACAAGCAGGGAATAGATTCCAAGATCCTCAGTAGATGCCTGACACCATGGATAGTACCAAAACCTATAAAGTCAGTTCTTCATATCCTCCATATCCACAGGTTCTGCATTTGTGGGTTCCACAAATTGAAAATATTCAGCTTTTATATTCCATAAAGTTTCAAAAAGCAAAATTTGAATTTGCCACACACTGAGCACCATTCTGAATCCACATGTATTATGAAGTGATGTGCAGGCACACACTGCTGCAGCCATCAGTCATTTCACACATCCTCAGGCCCTTTTCAGCACTTGTTTGAGCCTGGCTGACCTCTAGTCTCATTTGTACACTATATAGTTAAGCCTGTGGTAGTTGCAGCTGTACTGAACATAGTACAGATTCTTTCTTATCATTATTCCCTAATCAATATGGCATAACAATGACTTACATAGTATTTATATGTATTAGGTATTACATGTATACTCTGGAGATGATTTAAAGTATATGGAAGGAAGTGTACAGGTTACAAGCAAACATTACATTACTTATATAGGGAACTTGAGCATCAGAGTGGGAGTCCTGGAATGAATCTCCTGCAGATAACAATGGGTGACTATATAAACATCTTCAAAAATTATAGAAAATGCATATTATGAAAATTATCTCTGATTTCCAATTATTCCATCTCACTCCTTGTCTGTTATTTCTTTTTGATAGTTTTTTTAAAAAGTTTATTTATTTACTTATTTATTTTTATTTCAAAGGCAGAGAGAGAGACAGAGAAAGACAGAGAGGTATCTTTCATCCACTGGTTGACTCTTCAAATACCTGCTACAGCTGGAGCTGGGTCAGGTGGAAGCCAGAAGGCCAGAATTCCATCTGGGTCTCCCACATGGGTGGTAGGGACTCAACCACTTGAGACATCACCTGCTGTCTCCTAGGACTGCATTAGCAGGAAGGTGGACTGGAAGTGGAATAGCCAGGACTTGAACAAGGGACTGAAATATGGGGAGTGGCAGTCCCAAGCAGTAGCTTAACCCACTGCTCCACAACACCTAACCCTTTATGTTTTTTATAATCTAGTATGAACACTAAAAATAGACCTAACTTATAAGTAAATATAAAGGGGTGGGTGTTGTGGTGTAGTGGGCCAAGCTGCTGCTTAGGACACCTCCATCTCATATTGGAAAGTCAGTTCAAGCACCTCTGATTTTAATCCAGCTTCCTGCTAAGCGGAGGATGGCCCAAGCACCTGGGTCCCTGACACCCACATGGGAGACCTGGATGGAGTTCCAGGCTCTTAGGTTTTGCCTGGCCCAGCGCTTGCTGTTGTAGCCATTTGGGGAGTGAACCAGCAAATGAATTCTCTCTCCCTATCACTCTACCTTTCAAGAAAACACATAAATAAAACTTTAAAAAATGATTGTAAATTGTGAGAAAACAGACTCAAAAGCCTAAGTGTCTTTCCTAAAAATGTAGGAGTTTTTATACAAGATTCTGTAGCATCGATGTTGGCTGCTTACAGGATTTTTAGTCTGCTTTCATGTTCTTCCCTATGTATCCAACACAACCCTGTATACGTAAGCCGTTACTGTATTACTTCACTGTTCCAAATCGCCAACTACATTAGAAACCTCAGTGTCACCCTCAATTGTGTTTCCATTTGAAATAGAAATTTTGAGGCAGATTTGTGAATCAAAAGAATTTTGTGTTTCTGGAAAACAAGGAATGGAGAATGACACACACAAAAGGAGGCTTTGTTTATTTATTTATTTTACCTCATACCTATAGTGCTATGGACTGAATGTGTCACCCACAAACTCATACAAGCCTAAATCCCCAGTTGGATAGAAGGTCTTTTGTAGGTAATCAGGTCAGACAAGAGGAGCCCACATGAATAAGGTTAAAGTCCTCATAAAAAGAGGAAGAGACAAGGGATAGCTCTGTGTGGTCTCACCATGTGAGGATACAAAAAGACAGCCACCCATAAACCAGGAACTGACCCCTCACTGGACACCAGATCTGCTGTCACCATGACCTTGGATGTCAGAGCCTCTAGGACTAAGCTACTCAGTCTGTAGTACTTTGTTAAAGACACCTAGACTGACAAAGACACCAAGTTAAGAAAATTTGTCCTGAGGAAGTATATTACATATTAACAGAGATATGATGGGCAATGATTTAACTTCAAAATTAAGCTAAAGGGGCCAACGCCATGGCATAGTAGGCTAGGCTGCCCACCTATGGTGCTGGCATCCCATATGGGCACAAGTTCATATTCTGGCTGCTCCACTTCTTCTTCTTCTTTTTTAAAGATTTATTTATTTATTATTTGAAAGGCAGAGTTACAGCGAGGCAGAGGCGGAGGTAAGGTGAGGGGTCCTTCTATCTGCAGGTTCACTCCCCAGATGGCCACAATGGCTGGAGCTGGGCCAATCCAAAGCCAGGAGTCCAGAGCTTCTTCTGGGTCTCCCAAGCAGGTGCAGGGGTCCAAGGACTTGGGCCATCCTCCACTGCCTTCCCAGGCCATAGCAGAGAGCTGGATTGGAGGTGGAGGAGCTGGGACTCGAACCAGTGCCCATGCGGGATGCCAGCACTGCAGGTGGCAGCAGCTTTACCTGCTATGCCACAGTAAAGAGTTCCCTATGCCATGGTTCAAAGCACAATGCCTGCAAACTATTTGGTGGTTTAGCACCCAATAAACAATTGGCTGCAGTAACCACTCATAACAGAGGGCTCTCTACAGGAAAGCTAAAGAAAACTTCATCACTATAGGTCTGGTAGTGTTGTACTTTGTGAAACCAGACTTGATTATCAGTTCACCCAATGGCAAACTTCCCTTTCAGCATCTGGTGGGAGAAATTGTCCAGAACTTCAAAACAGATCAGCATGTCCAGAGTTCCAACACTGGTGTTTGCAGGAGGCAAGGGAGGCCTACCTGGCTGGCCTCTTTGCAGACAGCAAGCTGTGTACTATCTATGCCAAACATAAACAATAATGCCAAAAGAAATCCAGCTAGCATACTATACATTCCTAGAGAACATGCTTAGGAATCCACTATGTTGGAAAACATTTCATTCTTTTTTTCTTTCTTTTCTTTTTCTCTTTTCATTCTTTTTGAAAAAATTTCTGTCCTATTATAAGTAATTCTGAGCATTAACTCCCTACCCCAATTGGATCAAAAGGCATGTAAGTATGATTAGGGATGGAAAAACAGCAGACAGAAGTTAGGTATCAGCAGTTTTTCCATTGTCATATGAATTTTCAGTATAAATTCAGGAAAGTACATCATTAACACAAATCAAAATATTCCAGTGAATAAGTCCCAGCAGTTCAACTATTTAACAACTATAAATAAATCTGTTACATTTTCCTAAACAATGCCAGCATTCAGTAAATTCTATTTACTTACTATGCTTTTCTGAATGTCCTACAGGTATCTTCTGTCCTGTTCCTGTATGATTGCTATTAAAATACATTAAACTAGTAAAAAAAAGGGGGGGGGTTATACTGGATGCCTTTTAAGGTTCTTCTAATTTCAAATTTTTGGATGAATCTTCTATTTTTTTTCTAAGATTTATTTTATTTATTTGAAAGATAGAGTTCCAGAGAGAGGTAGAGACAGAGAGAGAAGTCTTTCTTCCTCTGGTTCACTCCCCAGATGGCTTGCAACAGCCGCAGCTGAGCCAATCCGAAGTCAGGAGCCAGGAGCTTCTTCTAGGTCTCCCACGTGGGTGCAGGGGCCCAAGCACTTGGGCCATCTTCTACTGCTTTCCCAGGCCATAGCCGAGAGCTGGATTAGAAGAGGAGCAGCCAGGACTAGAACCAGCGCCCATATGGGATGTTGGCGCTTAAGGCCAGGGCTTTAACCCACTGCACCACAGCGCTGGCCCCTCTTCTATATTTTTTGAAGGCCCAGAATTCTTTGCTTTCATTCTCAAATTTACCCAAAAAATGCAATACAACTTTTATATTAACTAAGTTCAATCTAAATATGAATTATTAAGTCATATAAAGGGGTTGATGAAAATATTAAGATATTTTAATACATTAAAATCATACTTAGGATTAAACATTATTAATTAAAAACTTTCCAGGATACGCCACATGTTCTAAAAATATGAGACCCCTTAAAAACTGCCAGGAAAAATATTTCAATATGTGTATTCACATATGTAGCTAATACAAGAGACCTTGAACCAAAAAAAATTCCTAATTTTTATTGTTTCTTTTAAAAACTCTTTTTTAATGTCATATATATTATATTTGGGTATACTTGAAATATCTAACTCCCCTAGCTCTAATAAACTCTTTTCCTTCCCTATTAGTTTTTTTTCTCAGTTAAATTCTCAGCCAAATGTAAACACACTATTATGGAGGCCTGTGTGCAATGGCTGGGCTTGTACAAGCAAGCACATCCTGAATGCAGAAGAGACAGGGAAAAGCTGTCTGCCTCATAGGAGCCTGGGATGTTTCTGTTTACAAATCCTGGAGCCAGGCGGGGGCTACTACTGGAGGCGTGCTGTCTGCTTCCTTGCTACACTCAGCCTTTGTCTGGGTCTGTGTCAAAGAAAGAACAACATTGTTACATGTGCAGCAAGCAGCAAAGGGAAGCTTAAATATAAAAGCTAGTTATGTCAACTCCTTAATCTTTTACCACTCTGTTAGAAAGGCAAATTAGGGATTAGTTTTGTGTGTTTGTGTGTGTGCGTTTAAAAGCAATGTACTTTTTATAAAAGCAGAGAAAAACATTTAAAGTCAAAACAACTAATGCTATCAGAGTTAAGTAAATTCCTTAGCAAAATAATCCAGATTGCTAAAAACTGTTTTTTGTAACTAAAAAATATTATTCAACCTAATGCTTTAAATAAATATTTTCATAAGGAATAAACAATGTTGATTTATTTTAATTAATATATTTAGAACGGCAGCTATACAGTATCATAATCAGATTATGTTTAACATCCTAAAAACAAATTAAGAGGGGTCAGATTTCTTATTTTTGTTTTTTAAGTAAGAATTTTTTTCATAGAATCAACAATGTATTTTATTATTCACCTTAGATTTACACATTTCATATATGCTTTTAAAGCTTCGATTAACAATTCAGTACAAAATAAAAAATTTATATATGCAGCAGTGGTTCTCAGGCACTGAATTGGGGAGATTGGAGCAAGTCTTTCCCTAGCACACAGTGAACATGAGTGGAATGCTTCCTCGACCTAGCTGCCTTTCTGACTGGATCTCAGTACAGTCAACAGCTTTAATAGGTATGATATTGCTAACTGGAAACAATGCTATTGAAAGTATAACTTGCAGTTTCTTCATGCCTTTAAGACCTCAGTGATTACTTTTCTCCACTAGAGCTCCAAGATCATCCGATGAAAACATTGTCCATAACCACCTGGAGCAGCTGCCTAAGAACCACTGCCCAGGGCTATTCAATGTCCTCCGGCCTCACCGGATGAGGTAATGGGATGATGGATTTCTTCTCTGTGTCCCTGGAAAGTGCTTTCCTCTTATCGTAGGCGTCCTGGTCAGGTTCCCCATTGCTGGCTGAATAGTACTGTATGATGGTCCTGTAGACACTGTAGCCCAGCTGCTTATACATGTTAACTGCAACTTGGTTAGATACTCTCACAAAGAAGTGAACAAAAAATCCACCCTTTCTTTCTGAAATCTCCTCTAGTAGCTCCATAAGTTTAGCAGCCAGACCAAGGTGGCGAAATTCTGGGGCCACAGACAGAGCTGTGACGTGCCCGTGCCATTCTTCCCTAGCTACTGAGCCTTCTCAAGCAAGAATTTAATATTGAATATTAAAGACTAGTTTGTACTTAACTTGTCTCATTAATCGTTTGGGATAGGTTTTAATAATAAAACCAGCCCATACTTTGCTAATTGAGTCAAGGCATTTTATGGCTGAATCGTAAGAGGAAGAGTGGAAAACTGCAGAAAAGAATGAAAGTCTGAAGTTCAACAAATTTTTAAAAAGGGTTAGAAAAAACATTCAATGCCTATCTTTCTTTCTGAATATTTGGGTTCATAAGTATTTATAATTTTAATTTCTTTGGAATGTATTTATTAAAACAGCTGATGTATGATTAGAAGAGATTGAATCTCAGCATTTTGTTTATTAAAGAATGAATTAAAAAAGTTACTTGTATTTGATTAGAATAAAATATTAAAAAGTGTAAAAACACATCTAAGAAAATACATTACTCAATTTGAACTAGAGTTAACACTAGGGAAATGGAAATCAAATTGCTGTAATATTCATTATTGAGGGCAGGCGCCGCGGCTCAATAGGCTAATCCTCCACCTAGCGGCACTGGCACACCGCGTTCTAGTCCCGGTCGGGGCGCCAGATTCTTTCCTGGTTGCCCCTCTTCCAGGCCAGCTCTCTGCTGTGGCCCGGGAAGGCAGTGGAGGATGGCCCACGGGCTTGGGCCCTGCACCCCATGGGAGACCAGGATAAGTACCTGGCTCCTGCCATCGGATCAGCGCGGTGCGCCAGCCACAGCGGCCATTGGAGGGTGAACCAACGGCAAAAGTAAGGCCTTTCTCTCTGTCTCTCTCTCTCTCTCACTATCCACTCTGCCTGTCAAAAAAAAAAAAAATCATTATTGAAAACAAAATAAAAATAAAATTCACAGTTTAGAAAATTCATAAAACTCACAATATAGAATGAAAACAAAGAACACATTACTCAAAGACCCCAAATCAATTTTCCAAAGTGGTCTACAAATGATACTTCCAAATCAAGAATTCATAATGAAGACTTGTTCTCAGAATATAAACATGAAATAATTTAACTATAAAAGTTGCACTGTGGCATAGCGGGTAAAGCCACTGCATGCATCCCATAAGGGAGCTGGTTTGAGTCCCAGTCCAGCTCCCTGCTAAGGCCTGGGAAAGCAGTGGAAGATGGCCCAAGTCTTTGGGCCCTGAACCCGTGTGGGAGACCTGGAAAAAGCCCCTGGCTCCTTGCTTCGGATCAGCCCTGCTATGGCCATTGCAGCCATTTGCCATTTGCGGATTGAACCAACAGATGGAAAACTCTCTCTCTCTCTCTCACTTTCCGTAGCTCTGCCTTTCAAATAAATAAATAAATCTTAAAAAAATGAAATTCATACCTTTTAATCATTTACTGTCTGGACAACAAAATATGAATCATATTGTGTAGATAACTCCCATCTACCCATCATGTTCTGTTAACTATAACAGTAACTTCTGCTCCCTCTTTAATCAGAACGTTTTGAGAAAAATTATCAGTTTTTTTAAAAAATTAAATTCCTGTTAGTTTTTTCTTAGCTTTCTCCCTTGCTCTAGCCTTCCCATATGTAACCTTTTTTTAAACTAAAAACTATAACTGACATATACACAGATGTTTATACTGAAAATGTATACCATTTAGAGAATGACTATGAAGTAAGAACTCACGTAGCTATCACCCAGGTAAACAAACAGAACAGCAGGATCCAGAAAGCCTCCTACCTGCTCCTTCCTGGTGACAGCAGCCTCGTCTGCCCCAGAAACAGCCACTATCCTAATTTTTGTGGTAATCATTTCCTTAACTTTGCTTGACAGTATTTAATCCCTATATCCTTAGTTCTGCCTCTTTCTAAATTTTATATAAATGAATTTTTGTGTTTTGCTTTTGTGTGTGTGTGTGTTCAGTAATATGTTCTGAAGATTTAACTGCACTGTTGTTTGTGGCTGAAATGTATTCATGGTTACCCTTCTACTTAACAAAAGCAGGTTTCCTTGTAATGAGTCTGGGGATTTATTATAATGACAAAAGACTACTGTATGTAGTCTCTATTGTATTCCACAAATGTATACACTTGGCTTTTCAGTTATATTTAGTACTTAAAGATACCCAGTTCTGTTGCCAAGAGAAAATACTAAACAAAGCAGGCAAATGAATAGGCTGTACACTCTTTTGTTGTTTCTAAGTTTTTGGCAGCAGAGGCACTAGCTAGCAACACTTACCAGGCCACAGGTTAGAGACGCATCTAGGGTAGGAAGAGAAAAGCTGGGGAATTAAGAGAGATGGTGGAGGGACATATGCCATGAGCATAAATTGGACAGAGCTTTATGGAATTCTCACTGCTCAGAACACCATCCTTAATCCATTTCTAAAATTCTTAATTCATCTTTTCTACAGTTCCTACATTGTTCCCTCATCTCCAAAGCACCTATTATAACATGTTTGCTAATTTTTAAAAAAATGGTTCTACTGAAATGCACACCTAATCTATGAAAAGATAAAAAGAACTGTGTCTCCACCCCATCATTCATTATTTTCACCAAAATTTCCGGAGTATTTACTCAGTTCCTACAAGTCAGTCCTTAGACAATGAGGGCAAGAAAGAAAAGTGACAGAAGAATACCTGGGGTACAGATGAGGTCAAGGCACATTTCAAATCATCTTGCTGTTACTTTATCATTCTCCAACACAGAAATTAGCTATCCTTAATCTCTCTCTTATTACCGTTTCTTCCCTTTTGCTTTCTTCTTTTTCCCTGTGTATAATCCTGTTTGCAAATCTGTCTCAGTTACCCACATGTCCTGCTAAGAAGCAGGGGAAAAAAAATCTGACATAGGCAGGAAGTTCTATTTTTAGTTCAACTCTATCTTGGTTTGAAAACAAAATACAACAAAAACAATAAAAAAAAAATTCCATAGCTAAAACATTTGTAGTAAAAGCTAGCAGAGTCAGAAATATTTCTGATTTATATCATTGTGGGTACATTCTGAATGTCTAGTTTTATGTACACATACATCTATATACATATGTACTTGAAAAGGAGTAAACAATTTATAACATACACAAAAAAGTGGTGGTACTAAATATATAGCTGCAACAAAGAAACATAATCTAGAACCTGCAGCTATGTATTTATTTTCTGTGTGTGTGTATAAAAATTCTGAAATCCAGGCAGTTCATTTTCCATGAACTTTTTGAATATTGTGTACACATGTGTGCATGCATGTGTATGAAATTGAAAAGGCAACCTTTTGTTTCTTAAAATTCTCACTTCTCTATAAACACATCCACATTCTTCCCAAGGCCTCATGGCACCTAGAGTGTAGCTCCCTGCTTCTTGACTTTGAACTCGGTTTTGTGACTTGATCAGGCCAACTGGAAGTGGACAAATACAAAATGAGCAGAAATCTAAAATATGCTTGGGTAGTCGGTTTACACTCCTTGTGGACACGTAATCCACTTTAACAGGAACTTGCCCTGAGTAGATCTTGCTCCTTGATCCACAGACCCTGATGGACCATCTGCTGGTTCACTCCCAAATGGCCACAATGGCCAGGGCTTACCCACACTGAAGCCAGGAGCTAGGAACTTCATTATGGCCTCCCATGTGGGTGCAGGGGCCCAAGTACTTGAGCCATCTTGCACTGCTTTCCACTGCAGGGAGCTGGATCAAAAGTGAACAGGGGCCAGCACCATGGTGTAATAGGTAAAGCGTCTGCCTGTAGCACAGCATTCCATATGGGTGCAGGTTTGTGTCCTGGCTGATTTTCTTCCATTTCAGTTCTCTGCTAATGGCCTGGGAAAGCAGTGGAAGATATCCCAAGTGCTTGGGGCCCTGCACCCACATGGGAGATCTGAAAAAAGCTCCTGATTCCTGGCTTTAGATCAGTTCAGTTGCAGCCATTATAGTCATTTGGGGAGTAAACCAGAGGATGCTGTCTTTTCCTTTTTTTTTCTTTTAAGATTTACTTATTTGAAAGGCAGAATTACAGAGAGACAGAGATCTTCCTATGCATTGGTTCATTCCCCAGACAACTGCAAAGGCCAGACCTAAGCTGATCCGAAGCCAGAAGCCAGGAGCCAGGAGCCTCCTCTGGGTTTCCCATGCAAGTTTCAGGGGTCCAAGCATGTGGGCCATCCTGCACTGCTTTCCCAGGCCATAGCAGAGAGTTGGATTGGAAGCGGAGCAGCTGGGACTAGAACCACCGCCCATATGGGATGCTAGCGCTACAGACAGTGGCTTTATCTGCTATATCACAGTGCCAGTCCCGCTGTCCTTTCTTACAAAAACTAGCTAGGTTGAATTTTCTTCAAGGCAAGTGAACCCTGACTAGTTCAGAAAAGAAAAGGAATTTTAATTAGATTATAGTTGAATGCAGGCCAAGTAAATGCTTCAGAAATAGAATACTTGACTCAATAACTGTATTTTGGCCTTTGTGTTGATTTGTAATACAGGGACAGACGCAGATATTATCCTTTACCTGTATTTTACTTATTTTTGAGCTTTAACTCAGGTTTAATGGAAACCTGATTAGTATTTATTAGTGATAGAAAAGTGAGCTGCTGACTATTCCAGGGAAATTATCATGTTCAAATTTTTGTGGGTATTACTCTAAAGTATGAATCTCAGATTATAAATAATAGTCAGTTTTCAGTATACAAATAAATCAGAAGCTCTTAACTCGGGTCTTCTTTAGCAATTAAGTTCCTAGCTGACTATTATGAAATAAAGTTATTTTCAACATTAGAAAAAAATTTATTGAAAATCAAACTTATATGTAATAAGGCTCCATAGCCTTACATATGTCAGAGTGTCTTTGCTTGAGTGAAATTTTATCACAGAACATAGTTAAAATTAATTTGATCTCATAGTGATAAAAACACTCTAATTAGGCAGGCATATTTCTTATTAGCAAACATGGGGAAAGTAATTATGATAACTATAATTTTTAGAGTACACATGTACTCTCAAAATACAAAAACAATGGCAGAAGAAGCCATTGTGGTGTAGTGGGTTAAGCTGCTGCCTGCAACGCAGGTATCCCATACAGGCACCAGTTCAAGTCCTGGCTGCTTTACTTCCAATTCCGCTCCCTGTTAATGTGCTGGCAAAGCTGAAGATGGTACAAGTCCTTGGGCCCTTGTACCCACACAGGAGACCCAGATGAAGCTCCTGGCTCTTTGCTTCAGCGTGGCCTACCTCTGGCAGTTACAGCAATTTGGGGAGTGAATAAGCAGATGGAAGATCTCTCTCTTTGTCTCTCCTTGTCTATCTATAACTCTGCCTTTTAAACAAATAATAAATGCTTATACACACACACATATAAATATATATACATATATATATATGTATATGTATATGTATATATATATATATATATGGCTAGCAATGTAGCGCAGTGGATTAAGCTGCCACCTGCAGTGCCGGCATCCCATATAGGTACTGGTTGAGTCCCTGCTGCTCCACTTCCAAGCCAGCTCCCTGCTAATGCTCCTAGAAAAGCAACAAAAGATGCCCCAAGTCCTTGTGCCCCTGCACCAATATGGGAGACCTGGATGTAGCTCCTGGCTCCTGACTTCAGTCTGGCTCATCCCTGGCCAATGCAGCCCGGGGAGCGAACCAGTGGATGGAAGATCTTGATCTCTCTCTCTTTCTGTCTCTATAACTCAGCCTTTCAAATAAATAAATCTTTTTTAAAAAAATGGCAACACATAATAATTCTAAAAGTCCTTGACTCTAAGTGGAATAATATATATAACTCATTTTAAAGATGAGTAAAATTGAGATTAAGATGGAGAACGTGAGCAATAAGCTTTTTATGTGTTTCTTTATTTTGATATTTTAAAGTAATCCAGGTATTTTAGAACTCCTATAAATAAAAGACAATTTTAAAACGGCATAAAAATTCTGGGTCTGTCTTTTTCTAGCTATTTGTATGGAATTATGCTTTCCATTAGCATGAAGAATTGGGGAAATTTAAGTATTATAAATATTCTTCCTTTCTCAAGACAAGTGTTCTTTCTTCTGCTACGAGAGGCATTGGAAAACATATGAGGATTTTTTTTTAACTTCAGGAGGAATACTGACATTTAATGAGTATAGACTACAGACTTTAAAATCCTTCAATGATTGACTTGAGACTAACTGGTACAACTAAGATATGACTCTAAACACCAGAAGCAACCCTACTGAAAAACGCTTTAGCCCTTGCTATTGCCCTAGGCACTAGAGCCTCACCCAGCCATTAAGGATCTTGAGATGAGAATATCCTGGATAGTGCGGGTCCTAAGTTCTTAAAAGTCAAAGGCAGAGGAAGATAACAGACACAGAGGTGAAGGCCATGTGAAGACAGAAGCAAGAAACACCATTAATTGCTGGCATCCATCAGAAATTAGAACATGGCAAAAATTGTCCCTCAGAGCTTCCAAAAA